TGGCACCCCTCTTGGGGTCCTCGGCACTGCCCCAGGAGTGCTCGGCTCTGTTGCTGGAGTGATCGGCACCTCCTCTCTAGCGTCTCCACCACCGTGGATAACCATGCGCTCAACGACGAAGGTGCTGATGGAGCCGCCAGCTTCCCCCCATGCCCAGACTATCCCAGTCCCAGGCCGCCTTCTCATCAAACACCACATCCCTAGAGATCACCACCTTGCCTCTCTTTGGATCATAAACCCGATAGGCCTTGCTGCCCTCCTCGTAGCCCAGGAGCATCATCAGCATGCTCCTATCTTCTAGCTTGTCGAGGTGAGGCTTGGTGTTCTTCACATGGCCGACGCAGCCAAATGTCCTGAGGAAGGACACATTCGGCTTGCGTCCATGCCAAACCTCGAACGGCGTCTTGCCCTTTAGGGCCTTGGTGGGTGGGTGGTTGAGGATGAACACCGCCGTGGTCACCACTCTCCCCAAAACTCTGCTAGCAAGCCTTTGGCCTTCATCATGGATTGAGCCATGCCGACCACCGTCTGGTTCCGCCGCTCCACCACGCGCATTCTGCTATGGCGAGTACGGCGCGGTGTGATGTCGCACCATGCCCTGGTCCACGTAGTACACAGCGAATTCCACTGAAGTGAATTCGCCGCCTCGGTCTTGCTGGTTAGCTGTAGCCACATGTACCGACTGCAGTCATCCACCAGCAAGATGAAGTACTTGCGCCCGTTGGGCGTCGTCGGCGTGATCGGCCCGCAGAGGTCACCATGGACCAGCTCAAGGGCCTCTGTCACGTGGTACTTCACCATCTTTGGGAACGACAACCTTCTTTGCTTCCCGGTCGGGCAGCTGTCACACAACTCTCCTATGTGCTCAATGTGAGGCAGCCCAGTAACCATCTTCTCCAGTCGACCAAGAGCGTTGAAGCTAAGATGTCCATACCGGGCATGCCACAGACACGGCTCCTCCGTGCGCCGTGCAGCCAAGCAGATGGGCTGCTCCACCTTCAGGTCGAGTAGGTACAGCCAGTTATGGGACCTCTTCACCTTAGCAAGAAGCCGCTGCTCCTGGTCCCTGATCCTGAGGATGTCGTCCTTGATCAGTACCTCGCTGATGCGCTCATCTAGCTGGTCAATGCTGATGATGCTTGAACGCAGCTGCGGGATGTAATATGCATCCATTAGCGCGCGATGCTCGTAGTTCTGGCACCTGAAGATGATAGTGCCACGTCCTCAGATCGCCACCCTTGAGCCACCACCGAACTTCACCATGCCGGTCACGTCGTCATTGAGCTCGGAGAAGGCTACCTTGGAGCCCGTCATGTGGTTGCTGGCGCCGGAGTCTAGGTACCACCGCTGCTCCTGCTCGCCGCCCACATGTCCGAGGTTGACTTGGGCGCGCGGTTCATCGAGGTTGACAGCCTTTAGAGCCTTCCCAAGCCCTTCCACCGCTATCACCTCTCCCTTCTTCTTGGCCTCAATGTCGTGCAGTGCACAAAATATTGCCATCGGGTGAGTGGCCTCATCATCATCATCAGCCTGCGTTAGATGAGCCTAAGCCTTCTTCTCCTGCTTGCGATTTGGGCACTCCTTTGCCTAATGACCCGTCTTCCCGCAGCGCCGGCAGGCATTGGGGTCGACCTTCTTCTTTTTCTTCTCCGAAGAAGCCTTGCCGCGGCGCTTGCCATCGCCACCACGGCTAGAGGAGGCTTCCTAGGACTTCTTCTCCTTCATCCGGACAACCCACTCCTCCTCTGTCAGCAGCAGCTTGCCGTTGTCCATCGTTGCTGTCGCCTGCTCCAGCGCTCGTCCACCTCCCGCAACCGACCAGTCACATCCTCAATGGTGAGGGTGGACAGGTCCAGCATCATCTCTATGGAGAGAGCGATCTGGATATACTTCGTCGGCATGGAGTGGAGGTACTTGGAGATCGTCTCTTCTTCGTCGATGGTGACGCCATGGCTTCTCAGCTTGCTGATGAGCGTCTGCAGGCGGAGGGAGAAGTCCTCCACCGATTCACCATCCTTGAACTTGAGGTTGGCGTACTCCTGCTTCAGCAGTTGGGCCATCGCCTTCTTTGCGCGGTCGGAACCGACGCGCATCGCCGCAATGGCCTCCCATGCCTCCTTAGCAGAGCTCTTCGCCCCCAACGGCTCCTTGTACTCCGCTGGCACAGCAGCGAGGATAGCCTCCAACGCTGGCATATCGTCTTCTTCATTGTCGGTGCCCTTGTCAACAGCATTCCAGGGCCGTCGGGCTCTGAGCTTGACCTTCATGGTCACCGCCCACTCGCTATAGTTGGTGCAAGTCAGCGTCGGCCAACTGGTGCCACTGACCTCCCGCACCGTGCGCACAACGACCTCCTGTCGTGGTTGGGCCGCCACAACAGCACCGTTGCTGTCGTCTATCTCCAAACCGTCCGTCATCGTCAGCGGTTAGTCCAGCGACGGCGCTTGTACGGCTCCGATACCACTTGTTGGCCCCCTGGATCTTCGGAATGGGTGAACCGACCACTCATCGGCGTTGCCGACTACACACTATGGCTAGAGGTAGAAGACATTGAGAACAGCTCACACACATACTCTGCACAAGCACCAGCGTTGGTTGGAGCTCTCCGTTATAGCTCTGAACCAGAGCTCTGTAGTCTGAATGTGGCAACTGAACTGAGTATTCCATTACCCTTTGGATGGAATATATACAACTCTAGCTATATCTCTACCAGGTACATAGTTGTTGGTCAACTACCTACTCCTGAGTACAAGAGTACACTAACTACCTACTCCTAAGATACATGATACACCAACTATCTACTCCTAAGGTACAGAGTATACCAACTACTCCTAGCAGTACAAAGTTTACTTCAGCCCACTACCAAGACATGACTAATGTAATAGCTACCAACTAATGTACTAGAGGTTGGCTATTGCTATACTGCTACAGCTATAGAAACTGGTCGATAGAGCCGATCAATCCCTAACTCCCAACAGAGAGTCATCGGCCGAGCCAACTAGTCTCCCATAAGGAGAAATGGGGAGCAGCACGTTAGGTATAACATACGGCTGCTAACTTAGAAGTCAAGTCAACTGTTGAAGGCTGAAGCGCCACTTCTGGCGCTAGAACGTGAAATGGCTGAAAGGACGTGGTCGCACTGTCTTTGCCCTAGTTGGTTGCAGTGGTAACCCGGGATTGGCTATTTTGGTTAGGTCTGCCAGTGTGGCAGTGCCAGTAGGCATCATGTCGTAGGCATGCAAATTGCAAGGCAGTGCATGGACTGAATTGGTAAACCAACTTGTTTTCTAATCGAATGTATCCAGCCTAACTCTATAATTAAGGAGAGGCTTCGATCTTGGTTTGTTTAGTTTGATCAAATCAGTGCCGACTTCACATAGTACCAACGATGGAATATCTACCACTGGACTTCAGAAAAAGGATATATATACCAGTTGCTCTAAAAAATCATTACGATGAGAAAATATAAAATGCACGATGTGTATGGTGGAAGTGCAGTCAGTTGACTACGAAAATGTCAGCAACGAACTGGGGGCTGGGGGCTGGGGGCGCAGGTTCCTGTTCGTGTTCAAGGCTTTCAAGACTCAGCAGCTAATTTGCTTCAGAAACCGTCAAAAGCAGTGATGCGTTCATCCTCATTTTTCAATACATTTCAATATTTTATATGCTGACGGTTCACGTCGTTTAGGGATGCAAGATAAGTTGTTCGTAAATCAGCAAATAGGCTAAATGGATTTGTTCCTTTGGAGTCGGGTTGAAAGTTAATTAGAAAGGGGAGCCGTCACGCCTTAGCGTTGTCCTTATTAAAGAAAAATTATCTTGTCAATCTACAACAAATCAAATTTAGATTAAAAATGAAGGACAAAATAAAATTATACTCGGATAATCTCCCACCTGGGTTCAAATCCTCGACTTGGCACGGTGCTCGCATTTTTCTGGATTTATTCTAGGATTTAATGACGCTATGCTTTCAGTGGTAGGTAACGTCTTGTCGACAGCGAGGTGCTTATGGTGACTTCGTGAATATCGAGATTTGTCAGCTCAGTCCTTCGGAGGTACTCATAGGGGTAGGGTTTGTGCACGTGTGTTTATAGGGGTGAGTGTGTGTGCGTGTTGTGGGCGTCTACGTTAATTTTAAAAAAAAACATGAAATAATTAAAATGGCATCCATACATAACCTGTGGCCCAAAATAAACAAAAATACTGAACTGAACAACTAGTTGGGTTTCTTATAGTGGAACATAACCATTCAAGTTCAAGTCTTCAACTTAATGTTAGTATTTTTTTATGTATTCTAAGATTTAATGGTATTATTCTTTTAGTAGGTGACGTGTTCGGCGTCCTACCAGTTCCGTCTTTCAGAAGTGTTCGTAAAGGTAAGGTATGTGTCCGTGCACATATGCCGGCTCAATTTCTCGAGATGCTCATAAATATATATATATATATATATATATATATATGAGTGTCTCTGATTCGTAAAAGAAAACATACCATGATAATAAAAGAACTAAATACAAATATACAATGCAGAAAGCACACAGTGCAACAAGCTACAGTAAAAATTGAAAACACATAAAAAAGAATACCTTTAGCAATTACTCATAGCAACGCACAAGTATATTTTCTAGTATTAGTATAGAAATACAATATTTGATTTAACTCATGGGCTCTGTTAAAATGGCCCCCCCGCTACTGAACCCGTGGGTTGGCCCAACTGCACCTCTGCAATCAGTCAGGCTACACCTCGGGATGGGCTGTATTGACTGTAGTACTACATCCAGAAAAAGGCCTTTGCTGTGCTTTTCATTTTTCATCGTATAATAACAGGACATAAGTCAAACGTTGAGGGTGTGATGCAACGGATCACTCGGCACAAGAAGAAATGGAACTGATGTTCGGTCAACTAAATCACACGTACAATCAGACGGTAAAGTGTATTCGGTGGATCAGACAAGAACAGCTGCAGAAAACTGGCTACTGCACTCTCCTCTGGCGGTCTCTTATCCCACCAAAGCTACCGGTAGTACCAGCCATAGCCATACGGCGCAGGCCTGAGTGCTGTGTAGTAGCAGCAGTTCGGCAGCACGCATGGTGAGCAGTAGCATCCAGGCACGCACTCCTTCTCGCAGGCTTCGACGCAGGCCTCCACACATGCCTCTCGGCACTGGCAGGGATCCTCGTACGTCCTCCTTGGGCGGCTCGGGCTCCTTAGGCTTGTCGTCCTCGACGCTGACGATCGCCGCCGCCAGGCACGCCTTCTTGAGCTCCAGCACGATGGCCACTGGGTCCACCGTCCCGACCACCGTCAGCGTGCAGTTCTCGTCGTTAATGTCCATGGACTTGATCCCTGAAGCAAGGACGACAATACAAGAGGATGGCATGCACGCACACATAATTATGACTGCCAGGTGGGGGCCTTTTACAGTTGATACGTAGTTCATAGCGATTTCAGAGTACCTTCTAGCGTGGCGACGGCCGACAATATGGCCGTCTTGCATTTGCTGCCGATGAGATCAGCTCTGACCACTGTCTTCTGCAGATGTACGCCGATTACATACAAAATAATACAAGAAGGATCAGCTGAAAACAGTTGGTAAATAATCGAGCAAAATAACATGCCTAACCTTAGACATACTCGTCGCCCTTGGTATCGAGCAAGTCTTAGAATTCTGGGTGACAGGAGACGAAAGAGACTGTATGTTGAAAACTCTGAAAAATGCTTGTTCAATTCTGGGCCGTTTTATTATACACAGATAGCTAGGGAAGAACCAAGAGGGCAACTGTCAATATTAGTAATAAGGATTAATGGTCACATCGTCATTAACAACAATCCGTGCGTACGACATAATGATATGATTATTGTACCATCAATTCTTAACTTCTTTTCAGTAGTGCTAGAATGAGGAATGGTTCAAAACGACGTGACCGTACAGACTGTTTTGCCGTTGCTAGTTGTAGTTTGCTAAGCTAGGATTGGTTACCAGTTGAGCAAGTAGGCATGTTTGCATGAGATGCACATCGACAGTAGAATTGGTAAACGACCAAGTCATTTTTTGAATCCATCATATCCAGCCTGCTCTGAGAGAATTCTTTCGTTGTTTGTTAGTTTCTCTAGTACATGATATAGAGAGAGTATTAGGGTTAGGTTAATGCTTGATTAACATTGATTAGTGACAACCATTGAGTACATATAGGCACGATGGGGAGCCAGGATCGGCAGGCCCAAGGCCCATGGACTTACACTCTAACACGCCCTGCAGTACGTCGGAACTAGGAGCACAACGAACATTAAGATTGGACCTAAACTTTGTAAAAACAGATGTCGACAGCCCTTTGGTGAAGATGTCGGCATACTGGAACGATATAGGAACATGCAAGACACGAACTTCACCAAGGGCAACGCGTTCACGAACGAAGTGTAGGTCAATCTCTGCATGCTTAGTGCGCTGGTGCTAAACGGGGTTGGTGGAGAGGTAGACTGCACTGATGTTGTCACAATAAACAATGGTGGCACGGCGAAGAGGACAGCGGAGTTCACCTAGAAGCTGGCGTAGCCAACAAGCTTCAGCGGCGCCATTGGCCACGGCGCGATACTCGGCCTCAGCACTCGAACGGGACACTGTCGGCTGGCGCTTGGAAGACCAGGAGATGAGATTGTCCCTAAGAAAAATATCATAATCGGAGGTAGACTTGCGAGTATTGGGGCATCCGACCCAATCCGCATCGGAGTAAACTATAAGATCAATCGGTGTAGTCCTGCAGAGGTGAAGGCCGAGATCCTGACTGCCCTATAAGTACCGCAGAATCCGCTTCATAGCAGCAAGATGAGGGTCTCTGGGGTCGTGCATATGCAAGCATACTTGCTGAACAGCATAGGCGATATCCGAACGAGTCAAAGTAAGATACTGCAAGGCACCAGCGATGCTGCGGTAGTGAGTAGGATCAGACACCAACATACCATCAGCAGCAGACAACTTGGAGTGAGTGTCCACGGGAGTGCTGCAGGGCTTGCAGTTGCGCATGCCAACACGGTCCAGGATAACCAGCAGATACTGTCGCTGGGAAAGAAACAGGCCATCATCACGACGCTCAACAATAATACCCAGAAAATGGTGAAGGGGGCCCATGTCTGTCATAGAGAATTCCTGGCGAAGAGCTGAAATAATCTGCTGAAGGAAACTCTGTGACGAAACCGTGAGCACAATGTCATCAACGTAGAGGAGTAAGAAGGCCTTCTCAGCGCCGCGGTAGTAAATGAACAAGGACGTGTCAGACTTGGCCTCAACAAATCCAAGAGAAGTAATGTGAGAGGCAAAGCGACTGTGCCAAGCGCGAGGAGCCTGCTTCAATCCATAGAGCGAGCGGTTCAGGCGATAGACATAATCCGGCTTCGAAGTGTCAACAAAACAAGATGGCTGAGCAAAGTACATTGTCTCTATCAGAGTGCCATGAAGGAAAGCATTCTTGACATCAAGCTGATGGATGGGCCATGACCTGGAAAGAGCCAAGCTGAGAACCACACGGATGGTAGCAGGCTTCACAACCATATTGAAAGTCTCATCATAGTCAATTCCAGGACGCTGAGTAAAACTACGCAACACCCAACGAGCTTTGTAGCAGTCAAGAGTGCCATCTGACAGGAACTTGTGACGATAAACCCATTTGCCTGTGACAACATTAACTCCTAGAGGCCGAGGGACCAGGGTCCAGGTATTATTGGCCTGAAGAGCATCAAACTCGTACTGCAGGGCGGGACGCCAGTTCGGGTCAGCTAGAGCCGACCGGAACGATGCCGGGAGCGGAGAGAGGACTGCCACATTGAGGTTGATGCGATCCACTGGCTAAATGAAATCGGATTTTCCATGGGTGTGCATGCCATGCGCGTTGGCAATTGGCGCGATGGCTTGTGGAGCGGTGGAGGTGGTGCGCCGAGCACCGCTGGCAGCAACCTGGGATGAGATGTTCATAGGGGCAGCAGCACCTGACCCACCGGAGAGGAGAGGCGGGGACGTCCCACCAGCAGGGGGCGACGGGGACGCCCCACCAGCAGGGGGCGACATCATCGGGGCTTCAGGCAGTGGAGCCATGGCGCCAGGAGGGGGAGTACCTGCATGCACAGCACTAGGCCCAATGGGCAAAGTGGAACAGTCATCATCGCTCAAAAAAAATCCAAGGTGGTGGGATCCAAGGGAGTAGTAGACATGTTGGTGAACGAAAAAGATGACTCATCAAACACAACATGCCGAGAGACGATGATCCTATTGGAGTGAAGATCAAGACACTGATACCCTTTCTGATCCGCAGAATATCCAAGGAAGATGCACAAGGATGAGCGAGGAGAAAGTTTATGTGGAGCTATGGATGACAGGTTGGGATAGCAAGCACAACCAAACACGTGAAGGTGAGCGTAGGATGGGTGCGTCCCATAGAGAGCGAAGAAAGGAGTGTCGCTGTCCAACGTCTTAATGGGATGATGATTAAGGAGATACGTTGCAGTGTGTAAGGTGTCTGCCCAGTAGGCGGGAGGTAGACTAGCCTGAAAAAGGAGGGAGCACATGATATTATTAATGGTGTGGAGGATGCGCTCAGCATGGCCATTTTGTTGGGAGGTGTATGGGCACGACATGCGGAGGATAGCGCCATGAGTGAGGAGGAACGTGCGGGCCGAGGAGTGATCAAACTCATGGCCGTTGTCGCACTAGACGACCTTGGTGGAGGCGCCAAACTGCATGTGCGCATAGGCAAAAAAATGGGACAGAATATCGAATGTCTCAGATTAGAGGTGAAGAGGAAAGGTCCAAGCGTAATGGGTGCAGTCATCAAGAATAACAAGATAGTATTTGTAACCTGATGCACTGACAACAGGGGAAGTCTAAAGATCACAATGTATTAAATCAAAAGGTTTTGATGCACGACTGTTGGACACGCTAAGAGGAAGGCGTATATGACGACCTAACTGACAAGCATGACCGATATGATCCGAGGTGCGTTTATTACAAGTAATAGCTTTGGAGCTAACTAGCTTGGACAAGGCCTCATGATAGAGATGACAGTGATGGCGGTAACAAAGAGTGATGGAGGACGCAGTGGCGGTGAGGGCGGTAGTGCTGGCTGCAGGTGGAAAGAATAGGTAGAGGTCACCCGTACTATTGCACCTGACGATCATGCTTCGATTTTGAAGATCCTTCACAGAAAGGTCGAATGGGTCAAACTCGATAGAACAATTGTTATCAGTGGTAAAGCGACGAACGGAAATCAAATTCTTAATAATGCTAGGAGCGACTAGAACATTATAAAGAACAAGTGACTGATGTGGCGTGAAAAAGGAGGAAGACCCAACGGAAGTAACGGGAAGTACGGCCCTGTTACCAACAATGATAGATGAAGGACCAGAGGAAGGAGGAGGATGGGATGAAGTGAGTATACCAGCACTGTTGGCCATATGTGAACCAGCCCTGAGTTGGCGTACCACTCGGCAGAAGATGGTGGCGGCGTCAAGGACATGGTGCTGAAGTTGTTGATCAAGGGCCCCTATTCCCAGGAACCGCCCGCCATCAGTGTCCACGAGGGTTGGAACTGCTACTAGGACGGTGTAGCAGCATAGGCGGGCGCCGGTGAGGACACGCCACCGTAGACGAAACCTGAGGGAGCGTTGTAGTGCCCCTCTTGCCCCTGTTGTGGCATGTAGTAGGGCTGGGGTAGCACGGTGAGCGCCGCAGTCGGCTCGAGCGGCGAGAACTACGGAGGGCGCGGCGCCGTGGCTGATCTGGATGGAGTGCCGGGGCCGTAAGGATGTGGCCATAGCTGCAGAGTGCCCGCCCACGGGTTGGGGATCAAGGCAAGCAAACGAGTAGGACCAGGACGAGGGCTGCCAGAGCCACCGTAGCCGCCGGGGGCAGCGGTTTTGCCGCCACGCCGGCGGTGACGGTTGTTGGAGCATGGGCTGCCACCCAGTGTGCCACCAGGGGCAGCGCCAGAGCCGCCCCAAGCGTGCCTGCCTGGTGGATGCTGGGGAGCAGGAGGCGGCAAGGCGATGAGGGCGGGTGGAGGGTCATCCGCGATGACGTCGTTGATGTCGATCTCTTTGAGGAGGAGCAGGGTGTGAGCCTGATTGAATGTCGGGAAGGGACGCTACATTTTCAAGTTAGAGACCATGTGATGAAACTTCCTGTTCAGCCCACGAAGCAGCATCAGCACAAGGGTCCAATCGCCGATGGGATCACCGAACTCGGCGAGGGCGCTCGCCATCATCTCCAGGCATCGACAGAAATCAGTGATGGATAGGGCCCCCTTCTTGAACATGCGGAACTCAGTAGAGAGGAGGAGGGCATGTGATTCCCGCTGGCCGAGGAAGTCATTGTTGAGCACCGACCAGGCAACACGGGCGTTGGGTTCGTGAAGCATGACCTGCTGCTGAAGATCGGCAGCGATGGTGTCGTAGATCTAGGTGAGGACGGTGCAGTCCATCTGCACCCATGCTGAGCGATTAGGGATAGGCTGTGTCAGAGAGGACGTGATCCATGAGGGCATACT